TTCATCGGAACGAAGTTACGGAAAATTAATTAACGACTGGAGGCGTAACAATATGTATTCATTAGCTTGTGCATCTAAGTATTCTCGTAATTCACACCGACTTCAATGTACTGGAGATATATAAAGGAATCCGCCGAGTAATTTGATCTTCGCACCGACTTCACCCATCGTACCAGAGATATCTCAAAAGAAATCCATTTAGCAAATTTTCATACTATAGAAACAAATAAATCCCTAACTTTGTGACCGGTCTTTTATTTGCTTTAAACGGAAGCTGCACATTGGGATATCCGAGCTGTTCCCACAACGGGGGATCGAAACTCGAATTTTGAACGTCATAAACTCCCCACCTTTACCGTTGTGAGTGTACATTAAAGTAATTGCATGCACGAAACGCAAAATTTATCTAAATATTTCCGAAACTATAACAAATTGCATTTTGTGTTTAAATCTTACGAGTGTTATTGAAGAAATTGGAGACAAAATTATGTAAACAGATTTAGGCTTACATTACGAGATCCACAACCTTGTAATACGTAATTAAATTTTATTACTCAGTAATGACCCGTAAAACAATTAACTTAATCGCAACTAACTCGAATGAGAACCGTGAATACAACGCGTCACCTAATTCCTTACAAATACGTTGCTATAAACGAATGTCGTAGCCTCGTGTGTGTGTGAATATGTAGGTTTAAGTAAATAAGAACACTGTTTTATGAACTCCAGTTAATCTTCAGATTAGCCTCAAGACTTGGCAATAAATCAACAGGTACTATTTGCCGATAACACAATCACCGGAAATGTTATCTTCACTCTCGTATGTAATAGATTAGCAGTTTTCTAGGACTGAATGGAATGGCGTAATCCTGCAGAAACGCCCCTCTCTTTGTAACAATAGGTTAAATTTTGTGTTTGACGTTTTGTTGTTGATTTCAAGGTAGTTTGTTCAATCTCTGTTGTGGTATATACATACGCTCTTTAGAAGCTGGCGAAGAATGATTACAATTATACTTGTCATAAGACGTTAGTATTAGGCCTAGTACATTTTTAAACAATGTATTCTTTACCTAGTCCCTCAGGGTAGTGTTTACCAAACGTTTGTCATCCACGACCCCCTTTAATAACTATGGTTTCTTGCGCGACTCGACTTCCCCCTTTTATTTTTTTAATTAAATGAGCGTGTTAAATGACCAGATGTAATACTCATTAAAATGCTATATGTGTTGTGATAATTACTTATTATTTTCATTAATAAAAATTATTAAAACGTCTAATCACTTGCACCACCACCCCTTACCCAAGAGATTACATGCGCATCACTACACTTTGGGAAACGCTACCTTGTGGATTTTCAAGAATTAGAAGAGTGTATTATAATAGTATTCCAACCACACTATATTCATCATATCCACTGGGTTTTCTAAGTACTTCTCTTGGAGATTTTTCTTGATTTCGAGTTTTTGTGTGTTTATGTAAATGTAATAAGGGGGATATCAAGAAAGAGCCCCCTCAAAATTTCAGAGAATTTTCTTTTTTATGGTTCTCTTGTTTTAACTATTTTTCTCGGAGCACAAAGATACCTTGCAAACTATAAATATCATCGTGTCACGAAAAATAATGAATTTCTTTCCCTGTCCCCATAAATTATTAAGTAATTTGCTCAATAGCCCCACCCCCCAAAGAAAGTCCTTCCTGGCTATAGCACTGCATTATGGTGTAAGCTATAATTTGTGTTGTATCAGAAACTATTCCTGACCAACGTTTAAAAGTTCAAATACATATCTGAAAATATACTTTATTTTAATTTGTTCATTTTTCACTATTTATGCAAAATCGTAGCTCTTTTGTTAACAACAATAACTCTTTAATTATGAATTATATCTACATTCTTTCATTCTAAAACTGTTTTTACTGATTGGAAATTTATTTTACCTTGGAACTAATTTCAATCATAAAATGTTATCATCATACTTAAACTACTTGTTGCAGTCTCTTTTTAAATGGTCTTGGGTCCCGAAGTTGATCCATATTTTTGTTTTCCAAATTAATTAAGTACATTGGATTAAACAGGTCAATTCACTTGAAACCAATTGAATATGCTAATGTAGTGGAGTATCATTGCAGATCCCAGATGAGGAGTTTTGGGTAATTTAACACTTATATATTTGACTAATGGGGAATTCTGATCATCTGATGTCCAATGTTGTATTTCGAAACAAATATATTCATAGAGCAAGATGCACCATAGTGACAGCAGATCCCTCGCTGGAGAACTCTGCTGTCTGTCTGAAAAAGTCTTTTAATATTTTAAAATTCTCCCCATTGTGATTCCTACTGAGATAGTGTTAAATTTTTTTTTCCACCCTTCAGACTAACTCTTGCCCCTCTTATCCCAATCACTAAATTAAAAACTTCTATAAATGCCACTATACATTTATATTTGTATTGGGATTTTCAGGATAAAATAGTTTGAAAGCTGAAAACTCATTACAAATGGTCTTAAAATAAACTGACAAGTTTATGATATAAATGTACCAAGTACAGTCCTCTGCAAGGCAAGATAAACATCTGTAACGTTTCTCAGATAAGATAAAAAATGGTAAAAGTTAAAAGTAAGAAAGGCTAGCACCAAAAAAATAATGTTTTAAGAAAAAAGATTTGGTGTAAAACTGTACAGAGGCTATTTATGCTGGAGGCTATTAAACCTCAAATTATAATACTGTAAGTCCTGAAACTTACCACCTCATCAGTAGGGTGGGGATAACTTGATATGGAGTTAAAATGGTTGATAAACAAGACGTGTTCAAGCCACAATTAAAAATATGATGCAATTCAATGTTTTCCTCTTAATCAGTGCTAATAAAAGTAAACCAGTTAATATATGAAATTTATAGGGAGTTATCTAAAAGTTCTTGGGTGTAAATCTATCAAGTTTTTATTACCTAATACAGTGTTTGATTTCCTGTTGAACTTAAGTTCATTTGTTTATAAGTTAACTACTTCACTTATGTAAATATCACATAAAGCCTAATCAGTGCTTTTATTATGTGTCAAAACATTGTTGAAGAATGCAGTAATTAAAAAATAAAATAAAATACAACTGTTCTTAAAGTTATACAACAGCTCGAACATTGTTAATAATTACTTATCTGGGGACAAGTTCCAGTAAATAAGGTTTCAGTGTTACATTAAGTTAAAAGCATCTGTATACTTTACGCATCTTAAAAACACTCTGAATACAGGATAGAAAAGTTAAGCACACGTACAGGATAAAAGTTGGTGACAGAAAAGTTAAAGTCAATCAATCAGTCAGTGTCTGTCTGTACTTTTGTGGTGTCCTTTTTTTCTCTAAACCAAAAGATGGAATTCAGAAGAGTCATGATTTGTTTTAGGTCTCACCAAGATGACCTCAAGAAGCTCATAAGAGGATAAATTAGCATAACTTTAAAATAGTATCTTGCATCTCCCCGAGTTGACCTAGGAATGTAAGATCATTAAAAGAGAAATTAGCACAACTTTAAAATAGTATCTTGCATCTCCCCGAGTTGACCAAGGAATGTAAGATCATTAAAAGAGAAATTAGCACAACTTTAAAATAATGTCTTAATTTTCACTGCAATGAAAGAAAAAGAAAAGAAAGATAAAATACAAAACTATAAACCAGATAAACATAATACCTTGTTAATTGACACAAGATATCAGATACATACATAACATACAGTTGTATGACACTACAGTAGATACAATTTTAATGTGGTGTATAACAAAAACTTAGTGATAATCAATCAGACAATCCCATAAAAACTAGCGGTGGTTAAAAGCTGGGTTAAAGTACTTTACAACATTCAAGCAAAATGAAGAATTCTGACTTTCACGTTCTTCTCATCCATTGAAAAGTGCAAATTACAATAAAAACATTTATTGTCAAAAAAGTTGTACATCAACATTCTTTACAAAACAGTGTGTTGAACACCAGAGAGAGAGAGAGATGCGATGAGTCTCGAAGCCGAAAATCATGGGCGGTGTCACGTTCTTCGTGATCCCTTTTATTTCAGTAGTTTTTCATTTTCCTGAAAAAAAGATTGATCTATCATGTAAGTATAAAATCATCTAGGTGGTGTACACTTTATTTTAAAAATACAACTTAAACTTATGTTTCTGTACCAGGAGTAATGTGTATAAGTTGAGAATGAGTCAACAGAAACAAAAACACAGCTTTTCTGTTGAAGTGTGGCACTGTAATCCAGCCAATTACAATACCAGGTTTCAAATTTAATTGTGACACGTCAGCATATTGAAGAACCTTTTTTTATTTACTAAACTAAAATTAATTTTATGTAAGAAAATTCCTCTCACTCTTTGTTGATCCACAAAATATTTTGTCATCGTGTGGCATCACAAGATGAAATTTACAATTAAACATACAAGTTCACATATCACTAACATTCAAAGATTCAACAACAAATGAACCACAGTGTTTCATTTGTTCTACTTCAGTTGAAGTAAATTAGTACAACTTGGCTATCCTGTTAGAGATTGTTTTTTTACATATGAATTACAGTTTGTGTTTAACTTGTTTGGTGTATAATCACTCACTAATTTATAAGTAGGAACAGAAATTTTCTATCAATAACATTTTAAAGAATTTCGTTATCATACTAACTACAAATATAAACTTATTTTTGAGATTTCATTAGCTTTAATTAGTTAAAAATTTGATGTAATATTACTTTGATTTATATTTGTTTAAAGCTCGTTTATTGTTTAGACGTGGCTTAGTGGGTTTGAGTTATGAATTTGGATGTTTAGTAATATATGAACCACATTGTTTTGCTCGTTCAACTTTGGTTGAAGTAAATTAAGTTACATTCCCATATTTGGAGTTCTTGTTTGCCATTGGTGATCTTAAATTACAATGAACAAATAAGTAGAGAACGATTTAAAATCTTCACTATGGCCAATAAATAAACAAGAACTGAGAATAAAGGAAAGTCTGTTAATGAGGAGATTATGATTTTAGTTTGGTTTATTCAGAATATAAATGGTGAATTTACAATCAATTATAGAAAAATATTTGGTGCGAGATGGAAAGCAAGTGATGGAAATATATTAACACGATGATGATGATGAAATACCATTACTTACCACACGATAACCGATGATAGATTTCAGTCACTGTCACGTAAAATATTCTTCCATTTCTTTCACTAAGCTTAGAAGATAGCTTCCTAATTCTTCATCCTAAAATCAGAACAAAATAGAAATGTATACTCAGATGTGTTTTACTTCCAGTAAATTTATACTTTCTTCTAACCTACACATCGAAAAATCTGGTCATCCATGTATCGAGTACTATAAAACTCAGGTACTACAGGGAATAAAATATAATACATTTATGTATCGAGTACTATAAAACTCAGGTACTACAGAGAATAAAATATAATAATACATCCATGTATCGAGTACTATAAAACTCAGGTACTACAGAGAATAAAAGAAATGATATTATATTAATATGAATTAAGAGCAGTCCATCAAAATATTCAAAAATCTTGGTAGAAACAACTCAATATCTAAGTTAAATGTGTATATAAAATTTCCAAAACGAATATTTTGATATAATCTAAAGCTTTTGTTAATTTCAGATATGTGACTGATTATGGCACTGTCAAAGGATAAGAAAGTTGAGTTAATCCTGCTGTTAATCCAACCTTGTTTTGAATTACAAGGACAGCAAGTGGAAGACATTCTATAAAATTCATTGAAGTGCCTGTGGTTCAAGACTTTTTGGACACTCTGTTTTTATAAAACATTCCACACTCATGGTATGAAGTTGAAAAAAACTGTTTTAAAGACTTGGTTCTGTAAACATAACTTCTAAGATAAGAATTGGTTCAAGGGATAGTAACCTCACCTGATATCCCCACGAAACAAAAACATTCTTGCCATCATCATCACTGTTATCAACCTTGATCAGAACGGAGGCTACAGAAATAGAACTGTCCACCATTAAGTGAATCGTGTGGTCCTTAAGCTTGCTGGAGAGAGAGAGAGATGAAAAGTACTTATGAGTTTCCATGATGAAGACTGCATTCAACACTGTACGGAAGTAAACAAAATATCTCATTCTCTTTAATAGTTTCTATTATAATGAAAATAATTCTTCAGCAAGTTTAATTGACTTTTTTAGTATTGTCATAAGCCATTCTATTATTTACTGAGCTTCTATTATAATGAAAATAATTCTTCAGCAAGTTTAATTGACTTTTTTAGTATTGTCATAAGCCATTCTATTATTTACTGAGTTTCTATTATAATGAAAATAATTCTTCAGCAAGTTTAATTGACTTTTTTAGTATTGTCATAAGACATTATTCTATTCTATTATTTACTGAGTTTCTATTATAATGAAAATAAGTTTATAAGCAAGTTTATTCAGTAAGTTTATTGAATTGTCATTCAACTGTATTATACATTATCTCAAGAGGAAAATTTTACTCTCTGTACGAAACCAAAAAAAAGCAACAATTCAGGTTTCAAAAACAAATTTGTGTATACAGTAATATAAGATATGTTGTTAATTTACTTTCATCGGTGAAGAAAAGGTGACATACAGGACTAATTTATACTTTGATTTGCTACTTCCGGTGCAACAGACTAGTTTCACGTAATTCACAGCTCATCAGTTCTGCTTGAAAGAATTAAGCAAGTAAATAGAGAGGACCTCATTTGGTGCTGGAATCAAGCAGTTTGTTCTTACATATACAGAACTTTCCAACATTGTAAGCAAAGTTTAAAGACATTTGACTTTAAAACAGAAATATCTTTAAAGCAGGAGTCATTTTCAAAGGAAATATTTGAAAATTAGTTGCCCATTATTTTGACACAATTTAAAATATAGCATTTAAATATTACTTATGAAAGATTATAAAACTTAAAATTCAATTGTAATGGAAACTTAAAAAAAAATCCAACTCTGAGACTTGAACCTTTTCATTTTCTGGTATATAGCATCGGCAACTCTTGTCGGAGGCTCGCCCGATGGATCCTCAAGATGGATAGTAGAAGTAAAGCGAATGTCATGTGGCTTGACACCAACTTCGTCCATAGCAGCTTCTGGATCTACCAAGCGTAGAGTCTGTAAACACAACTTGACAGTCTTAAACTGAGGAACCTTTTTTGACGTTTTTTAACTTGGTATTATACAAACTTAACTTATTCATGATTCGTTTGGTTTTTGCACAAAGCTACACAAGGGTTATCTGCACAAGTGATCCCTAATAGGCTTCCTGACTGTTTTTACACACCTCTTACTTAAAATCTCGAATGGATTAATTCAATGGAGCATGAAAAAAATCAATTTAGTGGGATTTTTATTACAAATATTAGATCTATTTATATTTCCTGGGATGTGGATTTGATAAATTTTGGAATACCCAGTTTGGACAACTAATTAATATTGATCCTAATCATGAAACACTACACCCAGATGTGCTTTAAATGGAAACAACTAATACACAAAACTTACTTTTATACCTCCTGGCCGTTTTTTATATACCTTTTACTTACAATCAGTAATGAACTAACTAAAAGAAATGTGAAAAAAAAATACACAGTGTAGGTGATTTTTTATCACAAATATTAGAACCAGTCATATTTTCTGTTTAACCTTCTGGAGAGGTTAAAGGTTAGTTTATAAGCAACATCTTCACTTATAAACTTGACTTATCAAACATCATCAAGACAAAGAGGAGGATTACTCATCCATACTTTACCAAACATCGTTAAGACAAAGAGAAGGATTACTCATCCATACTTTACCAAACATCGTTAAGACAAAGAGAGGATTACTCATCCATACTTTACCAAACATCATTACGACAAAGAGAAGGATTACTCATCATACATTATAAAACATCATCAAGACAAAGAGAAGGATTACTCATCATACATTATAAAACATCATCAAGACAAAGAGAAGGATTACTCATCATACATTATAAAACATCATCAAGACAAAGAGAAGGATTACTCATCATACATTATAAAACATCATCAAGACAAAGAGAAGGATTACTCATCATACATTATCAAACATCATCAAGACAAAGAGAAGGATTACTCATCCATACTTTACCAAACATCATCAAGAAAGAGAAGGATTACTCATCATACATTATCAAACATCATCAAGACAAAAAAGAAGGATTACTCGCCATGCATTATCAAACATCATCAAGACAAAAACAAAGATTACTCATCAAACATCATCAAGACAAAAAAGAAGGATTACTTATCATACATTATCAAACATCATCAAGGCTCCATGAAGTATTCTTGGTTTTTTAGGGTCTGATCCTGAAAAAAATACACATCAGAAACTTGCTGAAAACTAAACGCTACACATAATGTACATTAAAGTACTTAAATCACTAAATGTTACAAAAACAGAACTTAAAAACCATTAGGGAGTTGAAGAAATGTGGCTATCGAAATGAAGGAATAACTGAATGAAGAAAAACGTTCAAGATATATATATATCCTACAGGATTTCTCTGTTAAACAAATCATGTATACATATACCCTCCCACATCTATATACCTAGATTATGTAAGTTAATAAAATCAAATTAGGCATGGTGATGAAACCTTTTGCTACTTTACAGTGGCTACCAACTCATGCAAAAACGTTTTTTTTTCCAGTTTTTTAAATGCTTTTTGTTTAAAGTTCCTACCTGATTGGCTTAGCTCCCTTTTTAGAAGCTTAAGTGAGACGTCAACGGGTATAACTACCCGAGCTGGCATACACACCGTTTCTCCATTTGCGGGCATGTAACATTCGATTCCTAAACAGTAAAAGTAAATGACTGAAAATAACATGCACACGTGAATCAAATCTAAAATGAACCTTATGTACAAATAAGAACAAAACATTTTGAAGTCTTATATCTTACCAAATTCCTGCATTATTTTATTCTTCAAAAACTCCATTTTTGATGCTTCTCCATGGACGAGCAGAACATTACGAGGTTCGCAGTGCTGGATCAGTTGCATAATTCCTTTGGCATCTGCATGGGCACTGAATGACATGTACTGTACTGACATCTTGACTTCCACCTTAATAACAAAAAAACATATCATATCACTTTATCCTACGTTAAGTAAAAAAGTTATTTCTAAGACAGAATTAGCATAAAAACCAAATAGAACAGGAGAAAAATGTTTGTACTTACGATCTGGTTGTTTTCAAATTCCACTTTCTTAGCTCCACTCAGTATTTTGTGACCTACAGTGCCAGCAACACAATAACCTGGCATGATAACCTGAAAATAGAAGATAAAATTCCATGAATTAGTATAACAGTCACATTTTTTATTCGACAAGATTAATTTACTGATCTTATATAAAGTTCACCACAATTATGGGTTAAAGAACATAATGAAATTTCAAATAGATTTGTCAAAGCTAGAAAAATTCTTGTTTGTTTGTTTGGTTTGAATTTCGCACAAAGCTACACGAGGGCTATCTGCGCTAGCCATCCCTAATTTAACAGTGAAAGAACTAGAAGAAAGGCAGCTAGTCATCACCACCCACCGCCAACTCTTGGGCTACTCTTTTACCAACAAATAGTAGGATTGGCCATCACGTTATAAAGCCCCCACTGCTGAAAGGGTGAGCATATTTTGTAAAACGGGGATTCAAAAATTACAAAATTAGAAAACTAGTAATGATTTATAAATCTCCACAGTTTTGTGACAAAACAACTTCTGATACAAGTTTATAATAATCCTTGCCTCTCTGATGCAGTAAGTTTACGGCTATGATGCTACGTTATACTTTTACACTTAATTTGCTACTAGGCTTTATACAAATATTTCCAGGTGTTATGACAGTTACACCTTATCATTACAGATGCTGTAGTCACATGATAATGGGAGGATGGAGTACGATTCAATTCCATCAGTCATTTAGTAACATTAATCCTATCACGACTGGTGATCACCTTTCAGGTACTGAATACACACCTGCATATCAAATTTCAAAATGTAAATAAAAATAATAAATCTAGAATTTATAGTTTCTCGTTATGTAAGATTTATTTAACGTAATTCACAATGAATAATGAAAAAAAAAAAATTCAAACTTCATTTGTATGCATGAGTCTCAACTACGAACAACAAATCTATTGACTTTAAAATGTTTCTGCCCATTCCAAAACAATGGTTTATATCTTCTAAGAAACTACCATCCCTCAACAACAATATGACAACAGAGTGACTCGTGTCTGGTCTTCCTTCTCTCTTAGTGGTTTTATTAGTAAAGTCCTTCCCTGCTACACTTTAATGATGTCACAGCATGTGGTCTGAACCAATGAAGTTAGCTTTCAAAAACAAAGCTAGAGCTAATTGGCTAAAAATGACTGGATATAACAGATTATAATCAGTAAATATCGACGTAGAGCAAATAAAGTGGTGTAAGTAATAATTCATGGTTTCTTGAGACATCGGCTACCCAGAACTCCTATAGGGGTTAAAAAATGAGAAGTTCAGAACAAACAATGGATCTTGCATTGTTTAGTGTTATAAACTTGATCATAATATAATGTCGCTTAATCTACTCCTTAAGCCTAACTGAGCTCTCCTGATGTCTTGTCATAGAGAAAATTTTTGTAGCTTTCAGACAGATTATCTTTTAACACAAAAAACGTTTATGAATAAAAATAATGTAAAGAAACGTATAGAAAAATTTCCATGTTTGAAACTCAATAATTCATTCAATGTTCTCTCAAAGGGGAGTCACAATCTTATGAATTTTATGGGACTATATAAAAGTTTGTTTTCGTTTTAAAAACATGACTAGATTTTTGAGATTCAATAATTTGCTCAGTGTTGTCTCAAGGCAGAAATCGCTAAGCTAACAAAAGTAAACTGTTACACTTTTTTAGACTAGAGGAGTGTCACTGATATCTCCTGATATCTTTTCCTTCTCACAGCAGAGACATGTAACAAACTTTCATGAAACTCCATACAAATTTACTTACTACCAAATAGTTAGCAGTTAACCCGATATTCTGTGGTTCACGTCTCACAAGAGTAACCCAAGAATTGGTGATGCCTTCCATCTAGTCTAATGCATCAAATTAACAGCTAGCACAGATATTCCTTTACTATCTTTGTGTGAAGTTCAAGAAAAACTAAACTGTATCTAGTTTCTATCTGTTCAGTTTCAACTTGATTGTTATTCAATAAAGTATTTCTTGTGCTGATTGAAGTATCATCGCTTATGATTATAAATCATAAATATCACACCAAAAAACCTTGGACCTTTTAGCTTGCCATCATCATTACCTCTGTCAGACTAGGTATTATGATTTTTGCTAACAATATTTTAGTCATAATCAACATGTCTAATAAATGCAGTGTTGTTTTCTATAAATAATAAGTTTTTTTTATATTTGTATGCATTGTTTAGTGTTATAAACTTGATCATAATATAATGTCGCTTACTCTACTCCTTAAGCCTAACTGAGCTCTCCTGATGTCTTGTCATAGAGAAAATTTTTGTAGCTTTCAGACAGATTATCTTTTAACACAAAAAACGTTTATGAATAAAAATAATGTAAAGTAACTATGAGTGTTTTTAAAACGAAAACAAACTTTTATATAGTCCCATAAAATTCATAAGATTGTGACTCCCCTTTGAGAGAACATTGAATGAATTATTGAGTTTCAAACATATAACCATGAGTGTTTTTAAAAGGAGAACAAACTTTTATATAGTCCCATAAAATTCATAAGATTTTGACTCCCCTTTGAGAGAACATTGAATGAATTTTTGAGTTTCAAACATGTAACCATGAGTGCTTTTAAAAGGAGAACAAACTTTTATATAGTTCTATAAAATTCATAAGACTTTGAGTTGAATTTTACAACCGCTTATGTCAATAAGCTTACATAAAAATACAATACTTGGACCACTTTCGTAAACTAATATAGAATAGCAAACAGGATTGTTAAAACACCATTCCTGATACAACTGTTCTTACCATGTTGTTTTTGTTGGGTGCCCATTTCTTGAAGATCTGTAGAGAGAGACCAGCATGAAGCATCCCTGGGGTTGCAAACACGACCATGGGTCCAGGGTTGTCAATGTAGGCTCTGTCAAATGGCTAGAGAAAATAAAAACTAATATTTATTTCAATTTCATACAAAGCACACTAAATCATAACCTGGTAAAGTTAAGAATTTAAAAGATGATTTTTTTTTTCAGATACTGAAGTGTCCATTTAGTAAAGTGTCTTACATATTACAAATGTGTCACTACAGTTCTTCACTTAGCATAAACATGTCTAACCTAGACTGAAGTAGTTTCATGTAGCATAAACACCTTCCAGTGTATGAACATGTCCACCTAGACTGAAGTAGTTTCATGTAGCATAAACACCTTCCAAGACTAATGTGGTCAGTGTATGAACATGTCTAACCTAGACTGAAGTAGTTTCATGTAGCATAAACACCTTCCAAGACTAATGTGGTCAACTTATGAACATGTCTAACCTAGACTGAAGTAGTTTCATGTAGCATAAACACCTTCCAAGACTAATGTGATCAACTTATGAACATGTCTAACCTAGACTGACGTAGTTTCATGTAGCATACACACCTTCCAAGACTAATGTGGTCAGTGTATGAACATGTCCATTTATGCTACATGAAACTACTTCAGTCTAGGCACCTTCCAAGACTAATGTGGTCAGTGTATGAACATGTCCACCTAGACTGAAGTAGTTTCATGTAGCATAAACACCTTACAAGACTAATGTGGTCAACTTATGAACGTGTCTATCTAGACTGAAGTAGTTTCATGTAGCATAAACACCTTCCAGGACTAATGTGATCAACTTATGAACATGTCTATCTAGACTGAAGTAGTTTCATGTAGCATACACACCTTACAAGACTAATGTGATCAACTTATGAACATGTCCACCTAGACTGAAGTAGTTTCATGTAGCATAAACACCTTCCAAGACTAATGTGATCAACTTATGAACATGTCTAACCTAGACTGAAGTAGTTTCATGTAGCATACACACCTTCCAAGACTAATGTGATCAACTTATGAACATGTCCACGTAGACTGAAGTAGTTTCATGTAGCATAAACACCTTCCAAGACTAATGTGGTCAGTGTATGAACATGTCTAACCTAGACTGAAGTAGTTTCATGTAGCATACACACCTTCCAAGACTAATGTGATCAACTTATGAACATGTCTAACCTAGACTGAAGTAGTTTCATGTAGCATACACACCTTCCAAGACTAATGTGATCAACTTATGAACATGTCTAACCTAGACTGAAGTAGTTTCATGTAGCATACACACCTTCCAAGACTAATGTGA